AAAAAAAAAAAAAAAAAAAAAAAAAAAAAAAAAAAAAAAGAAAGAAGGGGGGGGGGGGAGGGAGGGAGGGAGGGAATATTCTATTATGAACAGCAGAAGGTTGAAATAAACAGGTATAACTATAAGAAGTCCTTTATCAGACAGAGGGAATCAGACAATATTCAAAGGCATAGGTTTTCATGAGCTATAGCTCACTTCCTCAGATGCAACATGGAAGCTTCTACCTTTTAATAAAGTTTGTTAGTTGGAAAAGGTGCTGCCAGATTCCTCCTAATTTTTGGCTACCATAGACTAATACCACTCACTTCCTAAAATGTCTACCAAAATCTCATTGGTTGCTTATCTAAGACTTTATTGTTATGTACAGATAAGTGCAAAGAGGATCTCTTGGACCTGCAGTGCATGGAAAGAGGAAGTTCAGTATTTTTTTCCATCGCAGCAATCCTTACAAAAACTCCTTCTTCCCACTTGCTTTAGCATTTGAAAAAACAAAGCAAAGAAACAAATAGCATTATTTTTTTAGTGTTTAGATGGTAGATTTTTATCTACCATCCTCCTTAACATGATCAGCGATACTAAATTTCTCCAGGGACCTACTTCTTGATCCCAATTTAAACAGACTGCTTAGAGCTTGCTGTTAAATGCAGGGGCATAGCAGAAGGAACTCTGAAACAACATTTAAGGCATTTAAATATGCAGTTAAAGCCTAAATTATTCTCTTTCTGAGTATGCCAGCTTCCTTAGGAATAAAAAGCAATGTCTGTATTGCACACACTCTGTCTATAAAAGAAAAATCTAAAAGATGGGTAACAACACATAAATGCAGACCCCCAAACACTGACAACATTGAAACTAAAATAATTGCGCATCAAGCTAGAACTTACTACTAACCTGCCATCTGCTTCGGGATACAAAAAAATTAAGCTGCTTTGTATCTATAAAATGAGCATCTTCAGGAGGGGGGTTGTGCTGAAAAGGAATATATCAAATTGAAAATAATTCTGTGTGATATCTTCAAATGCCCAGCAAATAACCTGACATTAATTTGAAAACAATGGCTTCTAACAATTAAACCTTCCTTCCTTCATCATGATTCATATGTAGTGTTTTAAATTTTATCCCTCTCAGCAAACTGTGAAGAATGTGAATGTGAAGAAATATTAGACATGCTCCTCTTACCTACATCCAGAGGTTCTGATTTGCAAAATGGATAGATTTGAATTGGATGCCCACAAGCTATGTATCTTGCATGTAATAATGTGCCAATGATGTGTGCCCAGGTTTGAGACGTGCATTGTGACATCACCATGCAAATATCACAAGTTCCATGCTTGTGTTGGCATTGAGGTCTAAGTACATAAGGATGGGATTTGCATCATGATCTACTGCTTACATGTTGTCATTGTAGATCATTGTGGCCTGCAGTGGACACCAAGGAGTGTATTTCTCATTTGGAAAAAGACTGGGTCCCCATAGAAAGCAATTTTTGACAATGTTTACTATTCGAGCTTTCTTTCAAAATGTCTCCTTTCTTTCTCTCTATGTACAAACATATACACAAAAACACACACCCTTCTTTCAGAAAGGTAATTCTAGAATTTTCTTTTTGAAAAGTAGAAATGGTTTTGCTTTCCATTTTATTTAGCACTTTATTTAGCACCAATGAGGTAAGCCCTACTATTTGACTTCTGATACTTCCTCATGGCTTCTCTTAAAACAGAGAGAAGTTTAGTAAAATCCCTGATAATCACAAATGCAGACCATACCATGGAGTGTCAAGTTTCTGTATGTTTTCCATTTTCCTCTGCTACCCTAAAACTCTTTGTCAAACCTGATTCGTGGCTTGGAATTGTTTATTTTTAGAAAACAGATCTACCAGGTCAAAAGACGCAGTATTCCTTTATGATCTTGTTGTAAATTACAAACTATTTTGGGAGAAATTGACACTTTCATATATCTCATCCTAGCAAGAGCATCCACAAAGGGTGTTGGGGGGAGGGGCAGGTAAAAAAAACCTAAGATGGCAGTTGCAACTGTGCAGTTAAACCCTGTCCTTTTGGGCTGCCATCTTGACTGACTGACTTACTTATTTATTTATTTAAATTTGTATGCCACCCATCTCCCCCAACAGGTGACTTTTTTTACCTCCTTCCCCCCACAAACATCCCTGCAGCCCAGACTAGGAAAAAAGGGGGCAGAGGGGATAAAAGTTGATTCTTCCAATCCCGCAGAGATCAAAACTTACAGCAAACCATGTGTGGGAGAGGCACTCCATAGCACTTGGCCTGGTTCTGCAAAGAGAAATTGCAAACCATGTTTCACCTTATATGTCAAGATGCAGCTATACGTGCAAAGAATATTTCAACTACTCTGACATGTCTGGAAAGAACTGCTCTCGTACAGAAAAGTAGTTTAATATGGTAACTGGCAAAAGCATCATTTAGTGGTAGATTCAGGCTGTGACCATCAGCTCTCTGTCACTGCCCTGAAATCTCTTCTTCTGTGGCTTTCAACCATCCACCACCATATGCCTTGACCTGCTCCAATATCAGACCTCATTGTTCACATGGGGAAAATCTCCACCCCAATGTTGCACTGTCATACATGCCTCCAAATTTTAATAATTTTCTAGGATAATGGACTTTGAAGAATCACGATAGGAAGAGTACTGACACTTTTGAACTTTGGTGTTGGAGGAGACTTCTGAGAATACCATGGATAACCAAGAAAACAAACAAATGCATCATTCTCACTCAAGGCACAAATGACAAGGCTTAAACTATCTTACTTGGGACACATAATGTGAAGACCAGGCTCCCTTGAGAAGTCCATAATGGTGAGAAAGGTGGAAGGAGACAGAAGAAGAGGACAACTAGCAGTAAGGTGGATGGACTCAGTTACAGTGCCAAATGGGTGGACCATTGGAAGATCTGAAGGACCAAGCTAGGGACAGATCATCATAGAGAAAATCTGTGTATGTGGTCACTAAGAGGTAATGAAACCTTATGAAAAAGGGCTCTTAGTTTCCATCATATTCACTTCTTTACATTTGAAAGCCAAAGAGATAACACAGACACAGACATT